TGTCCTTCTCGGGATCGATCTCGCAGAACTTCCCCAGGAAGGGGTCATCGCAGCTGCACTCGCCGCAGTCGCAGGTTCCGCGCTGGGAGCACAGCTCGCCCGTGGGTCCCAGACAGGCGTCGGTATCCTCCTTGCAATTGCACCGATTGCCCGACCATCCGTACTTGCAGACGCACTTGCCACAGTAGCAATCGGCCCGATCCTCATCACAGTCCTGGCACTCCCGACACTCGCAGTAGTCTCCCGTATAGCCAGGATCACAGTTGCAGCTGCCACAATCGCACTCGCCACGATTGGAGCACACCTGTGCGGACCGGCCACCATCGTCTGGGTTGGGTTCACGGCACTGCAGCAGCAATGCCTCGTTGGTGGTGATATTGGTGTGGTCGGTGGGGCACATGCAATAGGTACCCGTCCAGCCCTCGTCGCAGACGCACATGCCGCAGTAGAGGTAGCCTTGATCCAAGCACTGAAAGCGTCCTTCCTCGCTCTGGGGCTCGGCCTCCTCCTGGCACGGACACGGACGCTGCAGCTCCACGTCCAGTTCCATGTACTCATTGAGAGAGGTCTCCTCTACTCGGATTTTATGCGTCTAAAATGGTGGAAGGTTAGACAGATCTTGAGCGAGAGTTTATAGGGCTGTTCTACTTACAAGAACCCCATTCGGGGGATACTCCTTGAGTGTGACATTCACATAGAATTCGATCTCCTTGCCCAGGCTCAGATTGTTGCAGTAATTCCGCTTCCTTAGCGTCGGGAACTGTCCGGCACAATCCGTATAGTACTCCAAGTGGATAAAGTCCGGACTGTTGTCATCGAATTGAGTGCGCTTGATCAGGCTCTCGTAGCTAGAGAAATCAAAAGAAATTATCAATCAATTTAGAAGGGTATCAATCCCCTTTACCAACCTCTTCTTAATCAATTCCAATATATTCGATGAATCCGCACTGAGTATATCCACATAGCTGATCTCCTTCATCAGGGCACTCAATTCCCGGTAGGTGCTGACCACCTCCTTTGTCACGGCAAAGATCACGTTGATCTTGCGCCTCAGAAGCTCTCTATAGACCTCCTCCAATGAGGGATAATCGTACTCCAAGGAACCCGTATACTCGCCCGCTCTATTCAGATGACACTGACGATCATTCCGCTCAATGATGCCCGCCAGGAGACCATCGCCGGCCAAGTGCATAAACCCATCGGTGACAAGGATCACCACTTTGCGGGCCTGCTGCTGCCAACCGATCTCCTTGGGACAGACAATCACCTGCATCAGAGCATCCAGTCCGCCCTCCAGATTATCCAGATTCCCGGTGATCTTGCTGCCCGCCACTGCGGCTGTAAATGCTCGAATATCTTCGGTTAGCGAGAGCTGATGCCGATACCCGTAGGTGGGCTCGCAGACGGCCCCCACGAGGGCGCACGGATTCTCCTTGAATTGAGGCAGTACCATCGGCATCGTGGGCTTGTCCGCGAACGAGCCGAACCCCAAACGATAGTTTTCCGTGAGATTGCGCAGTGTCTGGGTTAGTTGTGTGCCCAGTTCCTCGAGCGTTTCCTTGTCGTCGCGCATTGTCCAGGTCAGGTCCATGAGGACATAAAGGTCGAGTGGATTGTTGCGTGCCGTTCGATACCGCAGCTTGATGCTTTGCGTGTTCCCTAGAGAGACAGGACAGCAAAGGTTATAGCTACTATAGATTATAGCCACAGGTTTATGAGCTGTTTTACGAGCTGCCACATCTGCATAAATACTCGTAAAAACAAGCAGGAGGAGGGCTCGGGTCTGCTCTAGATTCCCTTTCATTACTACTTGGACTGGTTAACACCCCTGGGATAAATGGCTGTCTTCCTTGTAATCCTTGAGCGTGTAATTTTCGACCGATACCTAATTGAAGCACTTCACAAATGTATTTCTGAAGCAGACTTCATTCGATCCCAAAAATAAACGATGTTAATGGCTTTTCAATTGGTTCTTTTGCGCAGCTGGGCCACAATCCTTTAATCGGTGCCCTCAAGAACCCTAATTGAAATGCAAATGGCAGCTCATTTAATATTCCTCGATGGGTTTTTATTCCCTTCTTTCAAGGCAATTCATAAAGGTATATTTAAATTTGATCGGGAATTCTTGGACTTTATGTGAAGTCATTTCGAGGGCATTGAGATATTTCGGAGATAATTGAGTTGAGCTGCAGGAGACCTTCTTTTTCCTATAGGAGAAACAATTTCTAAAGAGAAAAATTAGACTAAAAATACACAAAGAACCTTTCGAAACCCCTGCAATATCTAAACTTTAGGGCTTGCTTTATGGATTTATACAGAAACAAGGCTATCGGAAAATCGCAGAAAGCCCTAGGAGTTGTAAGGATCCACAGAGTACGAAACTATATACATAGTCTCATAGTACCCATTGAACCTAACACCCATGCAGATAATTATATATGTATGTATAGTTCTCAGTGAAGGATTCAAATTCTGTGTAAATACCATCAAAATGATCTATCAAAGGTACATATATGGGTGCTGGTGGATTTGGAAACTAATTTTTAGAAAGTTGCTCTTAAATTTGTTCTTAGCCATTAAAAGGTTAGAAGGATATAGGAATTATAGAAATAGAAAGACAGGATCTGTACAATATATCAGTTCCATAAAGTGCAGGAATAATTATGATACCACTCCCGCAAAAACCGTATATGTATTCGGTTATTTTCTAAATAAATGAAAGTTTGTTCAACAAGCGAGTCTGATCTACCTTCATCGGCTCGTAGTTACTCTTTATAAGAAATTATCTTTTAGTTCAGATTTGCACTCCCCCTCCCAAACCTATCTAAATGGGATTTTGCTAATCCTTTACTTAGCGCCTCTCATGCCACCACTCGACAATTAACAGTTCACTGAACCCAAGGCGAAGAGAGTGAGTGAGTGAGCTTATGAGGGAGAGTGACAGCGAGGGAGAGGAGAGATTTATTCCCACGCCTAATACTCAAACAAACACCCAGCCCCCGTGTTCAGCGTGAGAGAGAGAGGGAGAGAGGGAGAGATGTGACAACCACAAAATGCTGATAAGAGAAGCAGGAACACAAAACAAACTGTTCAAAATGATGTGGAACAAATCGGCAAAGCAAACACAGCTCGCAGACGAAACGAGTGCGAAGGAGAGGCAGAAGAGTGACACAATTGATAGAGCCGTAAAGAAGGGAGCTACCAAAACACAACAGCGGAAAACTGTTCGCTGTTACATTTGATAAATTATTGGATAAGATAACCACCACCATCACCACATGGGCACACTCATACGCTCATATGCACCTTTGACCAGCTTGAGGTATGCCCGCTGCGGCGTCACCTGAACCGCTTGATCATCGCTCGTCTGGTAGTCCTTGAGGGGACGCTCCTGCAGTAGATCGAGCACCGGCTGGTTCTCGTAGATCTCATTTTCGCTGCAGTTGAACTTCAGGAGTTGGGAGCGCGCGAAACAGCGCCAGCGCACCTGATAGGCCTGTCATAATGAGAGAGGGAGAGAGAGAATTAGTACACAGGAAAAAATCCATAGGTGATTGGTGTAATTCTTCAAATGCTTGACTACAATCCCACCAATTAAACGTTCTAGGGTATCGAATTGATCGAATTGCATTTGCTGTACAACATTTTCCATGAGTGAATGACATCATTTGAATAAAATGAAACAAGTTAAGTACTTTTAACAGATATTGACTCATGTCCTATAGGAAGCCACAGAGTATTCGTCGTTTCATTTTGTTTTGATTGTCTTGAAAAAGACCCACAGATTACCGGCAGTAGTTAACAGCTGATGTGATAGGGTAAAGAAATACTATTCCAAATATGTTGGTTTTTGGTTTCTCAAGTGGTATTTCGGATCAATAAAGATTTGCGATAACCAATCAATACCATTGGGGACGGGAAGTCTACTAAATTTGATTGCCTTGAATGGGTTATTGATCACATTCATTCTCGTTTCAAACTACACAAATTTGATCAGTAAATATCAAACACTGTCTGCTCCTCCACAGCTCTCCCAGTGTTGGGGTTAAATCTATGTTGATTTGAGGAGGGGCTGTTGAATTTTGAATGGCTCACCTTGTCCGTACACCAGGCACAATCCAGGTGGGCGCCCAGGCATCTCTCACAGCTGTCCGCATGCATGCATTGCTCATCTACCCCCATCCAAGAGAGAGCCAAAGAGTTAAAGAGAGTGCAGGTGGGAGTTATGTAACGGTAACGAACCAATCGAAACAGCTGTGATCTTCGTAGGCATCAATGAGAGCATCGCGGCAATCAGCAGCAGCGCCAACAAAAAAACACCTTGACCGCTGACTAACGGCATGTTTTTTTTTCGCACTTAATTAAAATTTCCCGCAAATTTTCCAAAAAGTAAAAAAAAACCAGAAAACAACCGTTCGGCGACAAAAGCAAACCGCAACTAATATTTTCCCCCTCTACGAAAAGCTTTCAGTTTTCAGTTGAGCTTCTAGTATTATCTTATCGTGTGTGAAAGAGAGAGAGAGAGAGAGAGTGATGGATGGAGGGGTGCCTGGCGGGGAAAGGGAGTGACAAATGTGACAAATTATTAAATATATCAGAAAATGGCACCTCAAAGAGTAGAGACGATTAGAAGAGAGCTAGTGTTGTACCTGTCAATAGAAGAGGTCGCTCTCTTTTCTCAGGAGTAAGAGAGCGAATTAATAGTAATTAAAGTCTTCTGATCAGCTGATCCAATCAGCTGGTTGGAGGGATAATGGCTGCCATCCTTTTGAAAAGCGAAGAACATTGGTTCCACAGCAAGATATAACAAATCATTTTTCGTCACCCCGAGAAAGAGATTCTTCAAGAATGCTGGGTACTAAAAATCAAAGCATTCCAAAACAGTCTTTGATTTTTCCATCAATTCTGGTAGCTTAGTTTTACTCATTCGTTCCGATCAGTTCCGTTCGTTACGTAAAGTGATTTTTGTCGCACACAAATAGAAAAAATTTTTCCAGTAATAAAATCTAAATTCTCTTGAAAGTTCATTATGGAACACAACCGAAATACTGCTCGCACCATTGCTCGCGCTAAAAAGGTTAAAAACCAGAATGGTCAACTGATTTTACAAGCAATATTGAACTTGGACAGGATGTGCACGTACGCAGATATTGTGGAGCAGCTGCTCATTCGCGTGAATGTGAGTGTTCCCATAGTCGTTGTATGCTCTATAATTTTTGTTCCGCAGCGTTCGAGTTTTAAACCTTACATTTTGCATGCAATTGCCGTTATACTGAAAGAGGCAGTGCGCTTTGGCTTTATACAGAAGTTGGGTGGCCGGTACTGCGTCATGTTCAACCCAGTCTCGGAGGCCCCGAAAATCCGAGGGAAACGAACCCAAAAGCGTGCAGAGGAGTCTTCTAATATCGTAGTACCCATTAATGTATCAGTAAAAACTAAGTAAACTATCAAAATTCTCAATGATAAAGCAGTTTTATATTCAAACTTTCGCGCTCTGGTCTAGCGCGTTTAAACGTAATTTTAGACGGCATATTTACGGTATATTATGAAAATGAGACCGTATATTTCGGTATTTATTTGAATCGGTAATACTCGGTTGACGGACAGGGCCAGACTCATGTGCCGAGAAAACTTCAGCATGTCCCGCAACATGGGTGCAACATTCTGCATACCCTAGGGAAAAGGATATTATAGAAATTAAAGTTTTGGTCATCTCAGGCTCCAATAATATGTTATTTTTGTATATTACTTTTTAAAAACAGTTGCGAAAACAGTATCCTCATGGTAAATTAAAGAACATACACCGATTGATAAGCAACAAGTCTTCAAATACCAGCAACATTGCCGTGTCAACATTGCGACTGTTTTTGCTGAACCTTGTTTTAGTCAAAATATAATAAATGGGAGAACTTAAATGTAGTACATGTTGAAGAATATTTATTCATCAATGGCATAAAACTATGTGGACATTATTCAACGGAATATCAAAATTGAGCAATTGGAACGATTGGTCTCTTTTGTTGTTTTTGTTTGACCGTTTTTGGTAAAACCGTTTTTTAGACAAAATCGAATAAAAGCAAATGTTTAAAATAACAGAATCAAGAAGAAAATTGATTTATTAATCGGATTAAATTATGTGGGTTGGGCTAAACGTTCTATATAGCTGGTAATATTCCGCGGAATATCAAAATCGAGGAAGTATGATGGAACTTGTATAATTCGTCAGTATATTGACGGTATATTTTAAAACTGAGGCGGTATATTTTGGTATATTTCGGTAGGTATATTTTATCGATACGCCAGCGGTCACACTTTACAGTCTCTCCGAAACACGCTCTCCCGACTGGCTTTTTGTTGTTTTTCAACACAGTCTCTTCGAAAATTTTCTCGGTGACGGTTGTTCCGCGGCCGCTTGGGTTTTGTTTATATTTTTGACGCGGAAAATCGTATCGTCAATCCGGTTGGGAAATCCCCCAAATGTTTATTAAATAATATTAATATTAAGACAAGAAATTGAGAAGAATCTTCCTCTTGTCTGTGCGTGTGTGTTTGTGTTTGGCATCTATATACGGTGAGTGTAAGAAAGAGAGGTAAATAAAAGAGTAATTGCAAAGGCAAAGTGCGGCAAAAAAGTTGTAAGGTGAAGAAAAGTCATTAATAAAAGGAAAGCAATATCCAAAAAAAGTGCAAATACATCATGTAACAACAAAGAGAAAATGTAACAAGAAACGTGGATATAAAACAGCAGAAATTACAGCAAATATAAAATACCTACTACAATGAAATTACAACAAAGTAAATAGCAATCAAAGGAGACGAAAAAGGAATTTTTTTTGTGTACTACAACGTCTGCCGCGCCGCTTGTTGTTGCTGGTTGCTGGTTGTTGGTGTGCCTGTCGCTGCCTGTCCGCTGCGGCGGCCAACTCTTGTTGTTGGTGTTTTTTTCTAGCGCTGGACTTCGGATGCTGCGACGCTGCTGCACTGCTTGTCCGGCCCGGCGATTTTCCTAGCTGTGGACCGCAGCTGCTGCTTCTATTAGCCGTGGACTGCGACGCTTTGTCTGTTATTAGCTCTGCCGACGGCGGCTGCTGCTTATATTAGCTCTAGAATGCGACGCCGAGACCTCTGCTAGCCCTGTCTGCGACTCCAGCTACTGCGACGCGGCTGCCTCTGCCAGCTTTGAATTCTATCAGGATTTTTGTACCTGTCTTGACTTGGCTTTTGTTCAACATTGTTTCTGTGCGTGTATGTGTACAAGTGTCTGTTGGCGTGTAAGAAAGGAAAATAAGCGAAAAGAGAAACAAAAACAATTGCTGAAAGTGAAAAGTTTAATTTACTAAACAAGCGACGTTGGCAGAGGGCAGACGGTCGGCCGGGCAGCGCTGTCGCCCGCACTCTCACTCTCAGAAAGCGTTGTCTAGGCAGCGCTGCTACGCGAGTCTCACGCGGATTTAAGGCGTTGAGGGCCACCCACTCACACTCTTAAATACGCAGCGTCGTGCGTTTGCTTGTGCGCTGGTGTGTGTGTGTGTGTGTTTGCCTATTTTTTCGCCATGTCCACTGCACACGCTGTTTCGTGTTGGATTATTGGATTATAACGGGAAGAGGCACAACAACAGGAGAGGAGTACTAAAGCCTGATAAGAGAGGCAGTCTCGTCTCAGTCCTTCGTCTAAGCGGAAGAGAGTGAGGAAAGAGCAGTACGGATTCAGTCCCGCAAATTAAACGGAAGAGAGGACGCACAGGTGTTTTTAGGCAGCTCTGCTGCGAAGAGCAGTTCTGCCAAGCAGAAAAGGAGACAGCAACTGCGAAAGAGAAAGAACCGAACGGTAAGTCCAAACAATTTCATAATTAAAAAATAAAATAAGCAACTTACGCGGACCGAAATGCCTTCCCGTTTCATAATTAAAAGTAACTTCAACTGTTTATGCCCTCGCTGTTTTGTATCTCTTTCTATCTCCCTTTCCTTTGCACATTGAAACCATTTATTCTAATGACGCTTTTTGGCCGATTCTAATCTGCTGCACATAAATTTGTGGCCCCAACTTTGGGTGATTTATGGCCTGTCGATGGTCGTCGCCGAAAGCCAGGCCCCAGACCTCAGACACACAGATCCCAGATCCCAGACCCAAAGAGAGAAAAAGAGAGAGAGACCCCCGCCCCGGCCACAGCAGGACAGACTGGTGCCACGCCGTCGGTCGGTCGGTCGTCGCCGTTCGCCGTTCGTCGTCGTCGTCGTCGTCGTCGTCCCTGAGCTAATGTACGCGTCTCTTCAGATGCCGCGGATTAGATAAAAATTCTCAATTTATGCGTTGCGCCAGTTGCCAATTGCATGTCTCCCGCCCATGCCCCAAAAATAGAGTGAAGGAAAACAAAAACAAGAAAGGCAGAAACTTTTGATACACTTGTGGATCCTATGGTTTTTATGAGATATTCATTCAAATTTTATTTAAATTGATGACAAAATTAAGAAAAAAAAATAGATGTTTGTTTTTCCCTCAAAGTCCAAAGAATGGAAGAAACTTTAGATAAACGTGGAGATCCATCGATTCTAATATTAATAGAAATTTATGGAAGGAACCATAGATTGAATTTTCATTTGATTACTTGCAAAAGATGGGTTTTCTAATTGATTTTTCCTCCAACACCTTCTCAATAAGCCCCATACCCTGCCTTTAAGAGTATTCCGAATGGAAAAAATACTTGTCGCCAAATGGCATAGATATAGTGCCTGCCTGCCGCCTTTCTCCAACTCCAACTCCTACTCCGAGTCCTATTGCTTTTCCTCCAATTCCAAAGTCCAGTTCCCAAAGTCCAGGTCTTAGTGCCAGTCTATCATTGGAAATCATGTGCCAGCGATAAGAAATTATAGAGAGGAGCCCCAGCCAGAGAGCCCTGGTCATAATTTACGTGATTTGACTATCTAATGTACTCCGCTATCCATCTCTTTTCCATGCCTACATAGAAGTATATGGAAGAAGACGAGGAGAGAGTAGGCCAAGAGAAGAGAGCCTAAAGGAAGAGCAGGAGGAGACGGAGGAGGGACCTCTGCACTAAATGAGAAAGAATTAGGTGGCGAAAAATGTAATGGAAGTCCAAAAGAATGCTAATGGATGGAATGGACGGTGGGGGAGACAGGCAAAACTTTGGAACAGAACTTTCGGAAGGAAAGTATTTCCTAAATATTTAGTCGAGGAGCCATTGGGGGTGGAGGTTTTTCCAGAGACACGAAATGTTGCACAAAAAAATATTTAATGAAGATGAATTTTAATTTTGATTTTTATTTTTTGTTTTTTTTTGATTTGAAGATTTTTTTGAATGGGGAATTCGGGAGGAACTTTCTTATTAAATGAGATATATTTCTGCAGTAAATTTGTGATTTTTAAGTTGAAAAATATATCGAAATCATTTCAAAATCAGATCCGGAAATGTTTTACCACTCTTCACAGCTAGAACTTTTTTTCCAAGGTCTTGGGGATATTTCAAAAGTATATTTTACAGAAAATAAACTCTTAAATACAAAAAACTAATCTCCAACGTTTAAAATAAACTAATCTTTAAAATCACAAAAATTAATCCCTAAAATCCATAAAAAATGGTTATTATTTGGCTTCAATTTCTTGATTTTTTTTTTGGTAAAATCGTAAATTCCCAAGATAAACAAAGGAAAACTTCTAGCTACCACATTTTCCCTCTACAGTTTTCCCATACATTTCCCCTTAGCCTTTGTCCAGTTTTTCCTCAGGTTGGGATTTGTGTGCTTGAAAATCTGTACCATTTTGACATTTATTGTTTTTAATAGTTCTGGAGAGTAGGCTTAGGGCCAGCATTTCCTTAGCCCTACTCTCTGGGGTCTCTCGCTTTAGCTCTCTCTTGTTTTTTATGACACATCCTCACGAACGATAAAAATCTTTACGGCCAAACGTCGGGTACTTTTGGTACTACATGAATATGGGATGGGAATGGGATGGGATGGGATGGGTTGGGTGTTCAATAAGCGACAAAAAGGTAGGGAGATGGACGGAACCCCACCTCATAAACTGGGAAAGTGTCATAAAAATTAGTCAAGAAATCACGCTTGACGTTCCGTTCCCCCTTTCATTTGTTCTTTCTTTCCGATTCTTTTCGGTTCTTTCGGTCGCTTGTTCTCCGACACATTTGTATGCTAATGAGAGAGGGACAGGGACACACAGAGAGAGAGAGAGAGAGAGAGAGGTGCTTCCGGCGGCTATAGAGTACCTTTCTGTAGGAGGAGGATCTATCAGACCTTTGACGAGGGTCCTCTCCGGCATGCCCGAGATTTCAGTCTTGCATATCAAAGTATCTGCTGGATAAAGGATTTCTGTCTGAAAGTAGATTATGCCCGCCCCGCCCCTAAATTGAATTATAATTTCAAACAGACGTAAGAGCATTCTCTGTTGTGTCTAAAGTTGTTTCGGATTAAGAGGTCTTAACCCCGGAACGAGAG